TATATATATACACACACACACACTATATATATATATATATATATACACAAATATATATATATATATATACACATATATATATATAGTTTCATACGCATCACAGCTTTTTGGTTTTGATACCCATGTTATAACGTGTTTTGTTCCATTTCTCACCCGTGTTCTTTTCACTTTCACAGTTCAATACATTCAGATTTGCCAAGTATAGTTCGGCACTGGTATTGTGGCATCTGCACACAGGCACGGGGCCTACTATCCACAGCGGCGAGTTCACCTGCAATGTCTGTACGAAGCCTCTCGAGGCGTTCCAGCCCAGATACCACTGTACCACCTGCGAGGTATGTGTGATCGTCTCAAAGGTTGGATGTTTGTGCTGTTCAATGACAACATCGTTTGACGTTATCGAGACTTGAGTATATATCTAGGGTCCAGCATTTAGTGGTGAGTGTGCGGTGTCCTGTTCGACGTATCACGCTGGCATCAACCCTGTCATCGATCTCTTGTTTTTGCTGCATTCTTTTGTTGCACCTGCACCTGTAGGATTGGGACATGTGCGTCGCCTGCTTCGACAAAGAGGGCCATAAAGAGAACCACGACATCAACAAGGTCGGCACAGACCTACTCGGCATCATTGATGTTGAGGAAGAGGAGAAGAAAAAGGAAGATACTGAGACGAAAAAGGATGAGAAGGCGGGCGATGGCACGAAAAGCGTCAAGCCTGCTGAGGAGAAGCCTAAGCCTCGTATGTTTCATTGTCCTTCATATGTATCTGGCTGAAGCAGTGCACACGGTGTCGTAATGTCAGTTCAGGTGGGTCACATGGGGTCGTTCCGTGTGGTCTAGCTGGTTAGGTAGTTATCTAGTGTCCAGTAGTGGAAATTTGAAGGTGGGTCGCTCAACCAAACTAGTCAGGCGCAGTATTGTCTGCCTGTACCGAGTTATGTCGCCGCAGATGTCACTGTGTATGTTCACATTGCACCTTTCCCATACTCTGATGCTAATCATCTCTTCTTTCTGTTGCGTCTGCTTCTCTTCTATCCCACCACAGCCGAGCTCACTCCTGCCGAAGTGGAAGCACAGGCCGCCGAGCGCAACCGCAAGATCTGCGCTACTCTGATACATTGTGGACAGTGTACAAAGGCCAACTGCCCGTTCGACAACTGTGCGCGAGTGAAAGGCATGCTACAGCACGCCCGCACCTGCAACGGCCTGTGCGAGACGTGTATGTACATCAAGAAGGTGGTCATGGAGCATGCGGCGCAGTGCAAGTTGGGCTACGATGCCTGCCCACTGATATTCTGCAACGAGTTACGGAAGCGCGAGGTACAGCGGGTGCAGCGACTGATGATCCAGCAACAGCAGACTAAGAACCGGCGCAGGCTGCAGATGGAGATGCAGATAGTGGCCAACCAACAGCCCAACACGCAGAACAATAGCCTGGCCGTGGACATGTCCAACAACGGTCATCTGTTGATGTCGCCGACACTCAATCCGTCAAGCATGCCATCACCGAGTTTGACAGGCAACAAAGAACACATAGGAGGCAAGGGCGGCAAGGGAGGCAAGGGCGGCAAGGGCATGGGCGGCATGCAATCGCCTATGATGGGTATGGGCTCACCATCTATAGGCGGTGGGGGTATCAGCAACATTCAGCAGCTGCAGTACCAGCAGGCACAGCAGATCGCGCAGCGCAAGCACGAGGCGATACAGGCCATACGCCGACAGAACCTGCAGAACATGCAACGCACCCGGCGGCAGCAGGAGCTTGCGGCTCAGCAACAGGCGCATATGGGCCACGGTGCGGGCATAGCCAGTATGATGGGCGGTGTGGGGGGCATGGGTGGCCTGGGAGGGATGGCAATGAACGGCCTAACCCCGCAGCAGCAGATGGTGGTGTTACAACAGCAGCAGATGCGACAGCAGATGCAGAACAACCCAGCCTTGATGCTACGACAGCAGCAGCAGGCGGTCCAGCAGCAGGCGATGTTACAGCAGCAACGAGCGAACCTGCGCATGCAGCAGGAGACAGCGCAGCAGCAGGCGGCACAGCACAACGTGCTGCAGCAACAGCAGCAGCAGCACCAGGCCCAAGAGGCCAGTGCGCCCCTCCTGGCCAGGCAGGCCCAAATAGCGCAGTTGCGACAGCAGCAAATGCACCAGCAAGGGATGGGCGGAGGCGGTAATGGCGCGGGTGATGTGGGTGGCAACCAGGGCGGCATGCAGCAGAATGTGCAGCAGCAGCAGCAGATACAAGAGAAGAAACAGCAGCTGCAGAACCTCATGCAGCAGGTGGAAGAGAAGATGAAGAGTACGGCTGCTAACCTGCACCACTGCAACACCAATCTGCAGCGACTGGCGAACGTGCAGATACTGTCGGCGGATCAACTGCGCGAGAAGGAAACCCTGCACCAGGCCCTGCAGCAGTGCTTACAGGAGCACAGCCAGCTCAAGCGCCACGAACAAGAGCTGCACAACGAGGCCCAGATGCTCATGCAGGCCGTGGCGCAGGCCAATGCGAACGGCGCAAACGTGGGCAATATGAACGGAGGGGGTCAGAGTGTTCTGCCCGGAGGGGGTATGCATCCGGGCATGCAGAGCGCGCGTATGATGAGTGGTGGTATGGGAGGTGCAGGGCCAAATAACATCCCCGGGACGCCTTCCATGGGCCAAATGGGAGGTCCCGGCGCGGCAGCCATGGGCATGAATGGGGGCGGAGTTGGCGGTATGAACATGAACCCATCGACACCGTCGCAGCGTGCGGGCCACCTGAACCCGCCCACACCGTCACAGTTCGGTAGCATGATGCCACCCCACACGCCTGGGGCTGGCGGCAACACGCACGCGGCTGTCGGGGGAAGGCCCTCACAGACCGGCATAACTCCAATGACTCCTGCCAATGTCCCGGGTACGCCAGCGGGATCACTGAACCAGAGCAATATTGGGGGTAACCTGGGTACACACCAGGGGTTGGGCCCGAGGCCGTCGCAGATGTCGGCTATGAGTCCAGCGGTGGGTCCGAATAACATGGGCGTTGGTAATACCCCCAATGCCGGGGGCATGATGGCAGGCCCTATTGGTGGGCATGGAGGCGCCAGTTCGGCTATTGGTCTAGAACGGACTGCTAGCCATTCGTCCTTCTCGCAGAGGACGTCCACGGGCAACGCCGGTCCGAATGTCGGCAATCTGGGACACAACGAGTTCTCGCAGCAGCTGAGGATGCTGGCACATCGGAAAGGGCTGGATCTCAACAACCTCTCAGATTCGCAGAAGGCGTTGTTGCAGAAAGCCTGGAGGGCCCAACAAGGGAATATGGGTGGGTCTATAAGTGGCAGTGTACCGCCAAGCCCGCAGATACCTATTACCCAACAAGGAGGGCAAGGCCAGCCAGGAACCCCGTCCATGGGCATGTCCGGTTTGCAACAACAACAAGCACATGCACAAGCTCAGGCACAAGCTCAGGCACAAGCTCAGGCACAAGCTCAGGCACAAGCTCAGGCACAAGCTCAGGCTCAGGCGCAAGCTCAGGCTGCGTCAGGCTGCTCAGGCTGCTCAGGCTCAGGCTCAGGCTCAGGCTCAGGCTCAGGCTCAGGCTCAGGCTCAGGCTCAGGCTCAGGCTCAGGCTCAGGCTCAGGCTCAGGCTCAGGCTCAGGCTCAAGCTCAAGCTCAGGCTCAGGCTCAAGCTCAGGCTCAGGCTCAGGCTCAGGCTCAGGCTCAAGCTCAGGCTCAGGCTCAGGCTCAGCAGCAAAGAATGTCGCAGCAGCACCAGATGCTAATGCAGCAGAACGCAGCAGGCAACGTTGGTGGCGCTGGGACGCCGGGTCCAAATGGTCCAAATAACGGGACAATAGGACAGGGCAATCAGTCTGAGGGTCAGCCGCAACCGGCAGCCACAGGCCGCAACTCGAGTGCGTTGCAGTCCGTACAACTCACACCCGAACAGCGCCACAGGCTGCAGGAGCTTATGCAAGACCCCTTCGCGCGGGCACAGATTGCCGAGCAAATGTCACGTGTCCGAGAAGACCCCACTGAGATTCAACGCATACTGCAGAGGTTCACGTCTCGCCCGTCCCCGCTGGGAGGAGCGGGTGCAGCATCTGGGGCAGGTGCGAACATGGGCATGGGTGCTGGGAGTGCCGGTCCTGCAGGTGCAGGCGGAAACGGCGGGGGGCCGGGGGGACTGGGTATAGGTCATTTAGGAACCCAGGGAGGACCTGGACTGAATGCTGGTGGGCCGCCACCGCAGAGCCCCATGATTAACAACAACAACAACAACAACAACAACAACCCACAGACACCAATGATGCATCCACAGACACCGGGGGCAGTGCTGAATCCCAACACCCCCGGTGCTGCGAATATGGGTGGAGGCGGTGCAGGCATGAATGTGGGCGCGAACATGGAGGGCGGGACTGGAGGTGCCGGATTGCTGGCTGGAGGCACCATAAAGATCGGTGACCGAAATTTCACGCTGAGCGATTTGCAAGATCAAGTGCACATGGGACACTTGCAGAATCACCAGCTGCAGGAGATTGTGAGGAGCTCTATGCTGCAGGCACAGCAGAGTCAGGGTCAGGGCCAGGGTCAGGGTCAAGGTCAAGGTCAAGCTGGTCAGTTACAGCAAGCACAGGCACTTGCTGCACAGAGGGCACAACAACAGCAGCAGCAGCAGCAGCAACAACAGCAACAGCAACAACAGCAGCAGCAACAGCAAATTATGTTTAGCCAACAACAACAGCAGCAAGCTATGCAGCAAGGTGGGGGGCTGGGCCAAGGAGACGGGCAGGGCAATTTACAACAACAGTTGATGCTACAACAGCAACAACAGAGGCAGCAGCAGGCTCAACAACAAAAGCAGCAGCAGCTGCAGCAACAAATGTTCGCCATGACGCAACAGAACAACAATGCTGGGGGAGGAGGGACTAGTGGCGCTGGTCCGACGCCTGAGCAGCTGATGATGCTACAACAACAGCAGCAGCATCAACAACAACAGCTACGCAACAATCAACAGATGTACCAGCAACAACAGGGCTATCAGCAGCAGCAACAACAACAGCCACAACAAATGCCGAACATGGATGCAAGTGGAGGTGGTGGAATGGGCGGTGCCAACGGGCCCACGCCGCAACAACAACAGCAATTGATGATGCTGCGACAACAGCAGATGATGCAGCAACAGCAACAGAATAGACAGGGTGGTACTGGTGGAGGGTTCATGGGAGGTCTTGGCTGATGATTGGCAGCGACTAGCGTATAATTCAGGTTTGGGCAAGCAAAGTTGTCCAGGCGAAAAACCTGCTGGCACCTGGCGCCTGGGAAGCGGCATGTATACCTGAGACCAGTCGTTGCTTTGATAGGTATCTAGTTAATTGTGTTGGAGCAATGGAGGCAGAGCGTTCCCGTAAACCACGAGCTAATACATAATGCCTGGTAGGAAGGCACAGTGCGTGTTTTTTGATCCGTACCGATTACAGCATAGTTTCTCGGAGGCAAGTAAGGGCAACAGACCGAGGTATCCGAACGCATGTTCCGAGCACGTGGTGTGACTAAGCCGAAGTAAACGGCACATACTTCAGGTAGCTCATCAAGCGTAGTTAGGAATGCAAACGGCAATGGCTCCACACCACCATTTAATATATATATATATATATATGGAATAATATTTGTAAACAAGAGTATAGCGATACCTTTGCATCGTTGAAATAAAATCAAATAGATACTGCTTTTTGTTGCTCGCCTGTGTTTGTTTCGACACAGGTGCATTGATGTGGTGTGCAGGATGAAGGATTATTGATACGAAACATGGCAGTAGAGACGTCGTTTAGGAACTTCTGACGAACTTTTGCAAGCCGAAGTAGGAGTGAGAAGTTGGGAATAAGTTTTCATTTTCCAAGTAGGCAGCTACGATCTTAAGCGCGTCTCACGCATCCATTCTATGGCTTTGGACTTGTAGTTCATTCCAGCACTCTTACCTACTATTTGCTGATACCATACTAGCAATATACGACAGGGATAATTTGGGACTGAACACTTCGAAGCAAGAGGACCGCATCGTCCAGGCTTGGATTTGAATAGTATATCAACATGGAGTACTTTATTGTTTATTTAGTAATTGGCTAGCCTTGCCGTTAGCACAGTTTGAGTCCTTGCCGTTCGCACAGCCTGAGCGATCCCTCGGTATTATATAGCCTATGCTTGATCGATGGCAATGTGACTTATTTTGTTGTCAGCTATATGTAAATATTCTAGTAGAACACTACGAATCGATGTAAAGGAGCGCTAAACTATCGAACCATAGTCCACATCTGGGCCTGGGCTGTAGCGCATGTAATACTAATATCTCTCCATTGTTTGCTTTCCTACTTCCATAGACTGGATGCAAGCAATATGTGACTGATTGCTTATATTTGTCTTTTGACCATACAATTGGGCAATTGACACGGGCATAACCGTTGGATCCACTTGAACTGCGAATACCGCAAACAGTGTGCAAGTTTAGACAGCCGTGTTTATGTGCTTTTATACCAGTTGCGTGAGATTTCAAATGTATTCAACTAAGTAACCTAATATCAGCCTGCACACACTTGTATTACGTATAAAGTACTAAAAATGAGACAATCGCTGATGCAGCATCAGAAGAATGCTATTGGTAGACGGGCTCCAGTGCATAGAGTTGAATCAGTTGAGCCTGTAGGCGCATGATATGCATGCTATGTAATGTAGGCATACATTGAACCAATTAAACTATCAATTCCGCATCGTTTTTCGTGCAAACAGCAACCACGCACTTCTCTCCAGCTCCAGATGATGCCTTTGTATGTGACGTGAAGCATAGCTGGCGGAGAAGTTTCGAGCTTATACTCCGCCAAGTGCTGACTAAAACAATCTAGGTGATGAAGGTTTATAATTTTGATATGGAAGACAACAATATTTTTACATTGTAGCTCGACACAATGACAACTTGAGACTAATTGCAACTCAGTATGTAATTGCGTGCCCCAACATACACCTCGTCGTGCAGGCACAAGTGCTTGCATATGGCAAGTGAATGCACATGTTTACATGCATCATCTATCCTAGGCGATCGGATCCTATAAATACAATGGGTTTATTATTGGCGTATTGTTCTATTAAATACTCTGCAGGGGGAAGGCACATAGACTAGATTCCCTGTTTATAAAACAGGAATCTAAAGTAGTGATAATGCGGCAAAAAATCGCTTAATTCTAGATGTAGGTGATCTTATATGCAGATGGCATGTACGTATGGCTGGGGCTTCCCGCTACCGTTATGAGACGCTCTAGGAGCGTTACACCTGCATCTACTTTACACAATCATAGTTTCTCTCTAGTAGAGTTTCAATTTAGGCTCTAAAAGTTTTAATGTTAATAAACCTGACTGTACTCTACACCATTGATTTATTGCACACACTCTCTC